CATCATACTCCCCATCTATTGAAGCTGGAGGCGTGGTTTATGTCCACCCCCACCGTGTGTGCTTTTTAATTCTGCTCTAAACAGAGCCATTTCATGTGCGCTCAATGCCTCCCTGCATCATGTTCTTTTCTTCTCTCTCTTTTCTTTGCAGAAGCTGGAGCTGTGGTGGATGCCCGCCCCGACTGCCGTACGGTGGCTAGTCATCAGCAACTCGCACGAGCTCAAGATGGCTCTTCGGCGCAAGTTCCCTGACAAGGTGTGTGGCTGCCTCGATTGGGTTGAATCCAAAATTTTATGTGACGTTTGTGTTGACCTCTCTAAGTCTACTCGCACGAGCTCTAGACGGCTCTTCGGCTCAAGTTCCCATAGAAGGTGTGTCTTTCTCTCCCTCCTCTGAGTTGCCCTGAAGGTTTTAGTTTAGGTAACTTTTGAGTCTTCCCCTAATGCAACTCGTGCGAGCTTAAGACAGCACTTCGGCAGAAGCACTCTCACGAGGTGTCTTTCTCTCCCTCCTCTGAGTTGCCCTGAAGGTTCTTGTTTATGTGACTTCTGAGTCTTCCTCTAATGCAACTCGCACGAGCTCAAGACAGCTCTTCGGCTCAAGCTCCCTCTCTATATACATCCCCATTAATGTCACAGGTGGTGATTTCAGACATCGTCCCTCTACATGCCAACATTCTGACACCCACTGTAAACCCGTCAGATACCAATTCCTCCTCGTCAGCACAAGGTACCATGGCAAAGGGGGCGTCGACCTACATTGATATTGTAGTAGATTGGCTGCTTTTAGCGTCTACTGATGTTCTTATATTATCTCACTCGGGGTTTTCCCATTCCGCTGCATTCTTCTCGCAACGTCTAACGTCTACTTACGTCCCGAAACATTGCAACCCGGAAATTCCTGTAGATACACGCGCTATAGGGCGAATTTGGAGTGGTATATGAAGTCCTGGTTGGTTTTATAACCTTAAGTTGTAAACCGTAGGACCAGGTGGCTGGGGTAGTTTTTTAGCCTTGATTAATACCGTAACATGTTCAACCAGAGGTGCTCAGCGTATGAACATATCTCTTAACCAATCAAAACAGTTCCGTCCCAATGCTATATAGATGAAATCATTCTCCACAATCCTGCTGAAAACCATCCTCTTGTTGCAAAAGTGTCAATGCACTATGCATTGATTAACTGTTGAAGCATTTTAAGCTTAATAAATAGTAATTAACGTATGGATGGCTAAAAGAATTACTCGCTACAGATGTGCTATTCCGCAACAATGATTGACTGAAATCAAAGCAGGGTCACTGCCACGCTAAACGTGACACAGAATCGCCCACATCCAGGTCAGGGGGAATCTACATGTGGAGGTTGTCCAAACAGACCGCAACAGCATAGCTAATTCCACGCGTGCGAAGGCCCAATGCGCCCAGCGCCTAGTCAACTCCTCGCTGGCAGATGCAAAGCACCTGTATATCTCCGGCGTGCCACGCCAGAGTTCTACTCGCATGACTCATATTTCAACGGAGCCTGTCTTTTCAGCTTGCGCCACCGAGTCGCGGGACCCTCGAAATCAGTACATTTGATCCCATACAGCGCATCACCGACTCACGAGTCACCATTCAGCCCTCTCCTAGAATGATGCATTTGTACGTGCCAGCCGGGGCGCGCGCCCTTACTATTGGCTGTAAGCGAGACAGGATGGCAAATGCGTGGCAATCCATCTTCCTGTGACGGACCCCTCTCTCGCGAGCCTACAACGTCTTTGCCTCCCCCTCTCTCTCCCCGCTCGACCTCTCATGACCGCAGACCGCATCCAGAATGGTCTTCTTTGTGTCAATCAAACAGCAGCTACGATTCTACCTATCACGTGAATGTCTTCCCATGTTACAATATTACATTGTTTAAAGTACGTTTCACGCAGGACGTTTTTAAGGAACACGCCCTCATCCCCCTTTCAACCTGCTGCTTCTCCTGGGCAGTCGATCCCTCACGCCGTTTGTTCTGGCACCGTCGTCTAGGCTGGGCCGAATGACACGCGCTGCGTTGTTCTCGACACTCCCTGGTCGAGTCTCGTACTAACGAGCGGTGTCTTCGCGTCATTTATATTCCTTCATTTCTGTCAATTATTCACAAACGAGGTCCCGCTGCTTCTCTCACAACAGCCTCCTGCTTCAGCGTTCAGCTGGAAACGGAGGTTCGCATTCAGTGGAGCTGAAATCGTTTCAGCTTCTGCAACCTCCCGTTGCTCTGCTCGCATCAGAACGTCGTTTGTTCGTGCCGAGCAAGCGAAGCCAGCACTTTGTCAGGCACTGAACCAACGTCAGGCTTGATCCGAGCCTCCGTAATTTACGTGAAGGCTAATTCGTCGTCGACTTCAAATCCTAACACCATGTTTGCCATCTTCCACAAGGGAGTGGCCCCCAGCCAGCCCGAGCTTCAGTGCGCTCTCGCGGACGCGGCAGACCCCGCTAACGTCCACTCCGGAAGTGCCGCTGTCCGAGATTTTCTGAAGAGCAATTCTTCTGCTACAGTGCTGCACTTCGATGACAACCTCGAGATTGCCTTTACAGGCGACGGTGGCAGGTAAGGACAACGTCGTTTCTCATGATTACCCTAGAGGACGTCGCATCTCTCCAGCGCTGAAATTTGATAAGCCGCACTTGATCGTTAGTGGTTGCATTGGTTAAGGTCTGTCTTCTTTATTGAACGTCCTTTTCTTGGCCAGCTTCAGCCAATTCGTTTCTATATTAATTATGTTCTGCCTTACAGACAATTTGCCTCGTGCGACGACATCTTCTGCACCTTCGTCGGCAATCTCGAGAACCTCCCGCAAATGCGGGTGGCGTACGGTCTCACCCGGTACCGGATCTGCGAGGCCTCGTTCGTGATCGAGGTGTACAAGACCCTGCGTGACAGAGCCCCGTGCACCGTTGAACACGCCCTTTCGGAGTTCCGGGGTCCGTTTTCGTTCGTGCTGTACGACCAGAAGCAGAAGAAGGTCTTCGTCGCCCAGGACGCGTATGGGAAGCGACCGTTGTACTGGGGTCTGTGCAAGGACTCGGTTCTGGCTATCTCGGATAAGTGCGATACGCTCCGGAAGAACTGTGGACGCTCCTTCGCTCCCTTCCCCAAGGGTACGAAATCGTGATTTCGTCATCGGCGGCCATGGCAAATGTTTCTCTCATTTCCGCCCTCATAATCGCAGTTTCACTTCGCATTGTGAATTTCAACCTTCTCTTCACGCTGGTCAACCTTCTAACAGCAAATTATTCCTCTATTTTCCCCTCAGGTTGCTACTTCTCCACGGCAGCAGGGCTGAACAGCTACGAGCACCCGGATCGCATGCTCAAGGCCGTGCCGCACATTGACAGCCAGGGCCAGCTGTGCGGCTCCACCTTCGTTGTGGATCAGAAGATGCGCTTCAGACAAATGTCGCAAGTGGGGAGCGAATGCGATCTCACAGCCATTTAATTTCTGGGTATTAATTTAGGCGTGAATCCAGGCGGGAACGCTGGATATATAATTTTCATGGCAGAGCGATGGTCGCCCATCCCCTTGTGGGATGGAATTTGCTGGGTGTTTAATGCGCTTCTTTCTGGTGTGCGATTTTCATGGAGGCTTCTCTCCTTTGCAGCGCACCGTGTAAATCTGCTTTGTTGATGTGATGCGTGTGTTCATATCTGCTGCTTCATGAGCATATCAAGATGATCCATTTCATTCAGTATAAGCGTTCAGTTGACCACAGCCTGTGATCTATCGCGCTTGAATGAGGTATCAGGATGGGAGGAAGCGAGCCCTGTGATATCTATCGCGGTTGAAAGAGGTATCAGGATGGGAGGAAGCTACCTGCATGGCCGTTCTGTAATTCATTTGTGTTATATTGAAAGGGTTTCTGTAATGTACACTAAACACAGTTATCGTGGGTTTCAACCCTGGCAAGCCGAAAGGTCCACTGACAACCGGAGTCTGTCTGCCAGTCACGACAAATCAGCAGACTCGGCTTGACAGTCCGTGACGAAGTACAGTACAGTAACAGGAAGAATTCGAGGAACCCTCTCTCCAAAGTCCGGCCAGCTACACCTTGCCCCCGCCAACTTCAATTCTCCCCCAATTTCAACACCTTCGTCCCCCACATGTGGTCCTTCGGCGAGCGCGGTTCGTTCCTGGAACCGCACTTTAACAAATCAAACTGAGTGAAACCTCTTTTACATGGTTCAGGAAACTTAGGAACCGATAAATTGGAGGGAACTTCTTTTCTTCCCACCAATTTCAACCCCACGGCAAAACGACAAGGAGGCGATCCGTTACCCTCAGTGCTGAAATTGGCGGGGGCAAGGTGTACCACCGTTACCATCACCTCGGGGATGTCGGTGCGCCCACTCGCTTCTGTCGTTAGAACCCTGGGATTGCTTTGCTCCGACCGACTGACTGACAGCCACCAGTTCGCCAATAGAGGATGGGAGGGATGCGATAAATCCCATCAGCCACCACCACCACTTCGTACGTTGGACTCGCGCACTGAAAGGGGAACCACCCAGTTTCAGATCAGGGAACAAAACTCGAGAGCCTTATGTCACAGAGTGCGTACTTACGAGGTTTCCATCGGCATTGACCAATCGTTTGACTTCCTTCTTGCTTGCGGGATTTGTTTTTTTTTTTTGCGTAGCCGTTAAGAAGGCTTTCTAGTCTATATTTCTGACCGCCTTCAGATCTCGTCGAGAATGACGTTGAGTTTTCAGATTATGGTGCTTGCCGCTGTCCTCTTGGCTGCCGTCATTGTCGCGGATGCCAGTGCAAGCGATCATAGATATAGCCAAGGGGACAGCGTGCCTCTACGTGAACAAAGTCGGTCCCTTCAGCAACCCGAGGTGAGATGCTGTGTTTATGATCTGACGCCACGTATTCTGTGTCTAGTGGCGACTGACGCTCGGTGGACATTCGGAGAATTAATTTGTTTTGAAGTTTGCTTTTGCTTCCGTTCTGACTCGCTAACCTTCAGTTTAGAATGTTCCGTGCTTCCTTTGAATTCTGTTATTTTTCACTTGTGAAGCCAACGTATGCGCCTTCCGTGTTCACCGTTCTGGGCCCAAACTCCTTTTCCGCAGTGAAACATACGGGTACTTCGATCTGCCGTTTTGCCAGCCAGGTTCGTTCAACAGCAAGTTGCTCAATCATAGAATCCTGCAAGATTTGATTAAAACTATTACAACCCATCGCGGCCCTTCAAACCAGCGTCGTCGTTTTACCCTCAATCCGCTTCGTGTGTGTGTTCAGGAAAGATCAACGAGAAGCATCAATCCCTCGGGGAAGTGCTGAACGGCGATCAAATGGTTCAGGCCCCCTACGACCTAAAATTCCGCATAGATCACGAGCGAGCGACGCTCTGCAAGCGCACGCTCGGCATTAAGGACGTCCTTAAGTTCCGCGACGCGGTCCTGAACGACTACTATTTCCAAATGTACTTGGACGATCTCCCGATCTGGGGTTTCATCGGCATGGCTGACACTCTCAGTGACACGTATGACACAAACCAGCAAATCTCCATTTTCACGCACATACATTTCAACGTATGGTATAACAACGACCGCGTGGTGGAAATGGGCAATAGCGAGGATACGGAGGTGGAGGTGGAATTCACGTATTCCGTCTCGTGGAGGGAGACGGATAAGGCTTTTGAGAAGCGCATGGACAAGTACACGCGGTACGCGCTCCTCCCACAGCATGTAGAGATCCACTGGTTCTCGATCCTCAACTCGTGTTTCACGGTGCTGCTGCTCGCCGGCTTCATCGCGACCAGACTCACGAGCTTACTCAAGAGCGACTTAATCAGGTACGTTAAGGCAAATTCGCTGAGCTTCTTGAACGATTTCGACAGGTATGTATGCAACTCGATCTGATGTAGTATGTTTGATCTACTTTTTACTTTCAAATTCCCCTTTTCACGCTTTCATCAACCCTTAATTCACTGCAGTACGACAATCAAGAAATGCCATTTTGTCGTCTCCTGGATTGATCAGTGACTCGGTGGTGTATGGGTGTTGTTGCAAGAGGGTGGTGAATGGTGTGACCAGGACAGTGTTGCTGCAGCATGTCTTATGGCGCCTTACAACAAATAATCCCACCCGCTCGTTCTTTTTTGCGTAATTCAGTTACTCGAATGACACGGAGTCGTTACAAGAGCCGGAGGAGGCTGTTTGGAAGTCAATCCATGACGACGTTTTCCGAATTCCCACGAACAAGGAGCTTTTCTGCGCCTTTCTTGGCAGCGGCATGCAGTTGCTCATCCTGTGAGCTTGGATGCCTTTTCACTGCTACACTCTTGCTGAACAGTGCGATTTAATTCGGTCTGGTTCGTTCCATATTCTATCCATAATGACAGCATGCACGCAATGCGTATCTCATTAGAATCTTGAAGCCGCTCCTCCTTGATTTGATCAAGCCCCTTATTCACGTCTATTTCCATGCTTGCTGTCTGTCCGTCAGGGTCCTAATCATGTTTATGCTCACTCTTGCGGGGGTGTTATACCCCTTCAATCACGGTGCTTCGTGGACGGCTCTGGTGGTGATTTATGCGCTGACCTCTGGAATCGCTGGGTACACGTCTGCGTCGTTCTACAAGCAGATGGAGGGGACCAACTGGGTGAGTGCAATGCAGTGGGTGCAATGCAGTGGGTGCAATGCAGTGACTGCGATGCAGTGGGTGCGATGCAGTGACTGCGATGCAGTGGGTGCAATGCAGTGACTGCGATGCAGTGGGTGCAACGCAGTGACTGCGATGCAGTGGGTGCAACGCAGTGACTGCGATGCAGTGGGTGCAATGCAGTGACTGCGATGCAGTGGGTGCGATGCAGTGACTACGATGCAGTGGGTGCAATGCAGTGACTGCGATGCAGTGGGTACAATGCAGTGACTGCGATGCAGTGGGTGCAATGCAGTGACTGCGATGCAGTGGGTGCAATGCAGTGACTGCGATGCAGTGGGTGCAATGCAGTGACTGCGATGCAGTGGGTGCGATGCAGTGACTGCGATGCAGTGGGTGCGATGCAGTGACTGCGATGCAGTGGGTGCGATGCAGTGACTGCGATGCAGTGGGTGCAATGCAGTGACTGCGATGCAGTGGGTGCAATGCAGTGACTGCGATGCAGTGGGTGCAATGCAGTTTATCTTGTCCCCCATCCCCCCTTCCTCACCCCCTCTACCCTCCTACCGTCCTCTTCCCCCCCCTCCCCTTCCCTTCCCCCCTCCCATCCCCCCACCCTTTCCTCCATCCACCCCCCCTTTTCCACTGTCATTTCAGACTGGCAGCATTCTGCTGACGGGGTGCATGTTCGGCGGGCCGGTGGTCATCTCCTTCTGCTTCCTCAACACCGTCGCCATCCTCTATCACTCCACCAACGCCAAGCCCCTCACCACCATCCTCACCCTCACCCTCATCTTTGCGCTCATCGCCTTACCCCTCCTCGTGGCCGGCGCCATTGCCGGCAAAAAAAGCACTGCTGCAGGGTTCCAAGCACCCTGCCGGCATTCCCAGACCTCAAATCACCCTAGGGAGATCCCGGTGCTGCCCTGGTACCGGCATGTAGCCCCTCAGATGGCCATAGCTGGGTTTCTGCCATTCAGCGCGATTTTCTTCGAGCTGTATTACATCTGTGCGGACTGGTGGGGGTAAAAGGCCTACATGGTCTACGGCATCCTCTTTATAGTGTTCATCAATTTCATCGTCGTGACGGCACTCATGGCGATTGTGCTTACGTACTATCAGCTTGCAGCGGGCGACCACGAGTGGTGGTGGAGGTACGATTGATCAATCTTTTTACGCCTTTCCACTGCCTCGTCTGTATTTGGTGACTTTTGAGGGTATTTTTTAGAATACTATACCCTGCGACTCTGAAGTCACCTGATCCTTTTCACCTTCTCACCGCCTCGTCTGTATCTTGCTTGCTCCTTGCTTTCTCACGCCTGAGCTCCGTCCTGAAGTGTATGTCTTCTTAGTGCCTGAGATGTCTTTTGAGCCGCCTTCAGATTTTTCTCACGCCTGATCTCCATCCTAGAGCCGATGCCTCGGTGTGCCTTACCGAACTGGCATGTGTCACTTTCATTACCCTCCATCTCTTCCCCCCTCCGTCATCCCCATGCCCTCTCCCCCGTTCCCATCCACTCAGGTCGGTGCTGTGCGGTGGCTCCCCCGCGCTCTTCATATTTGGCTACTGCTGCTACAACTACCACGCGCGCTCCCACATGACCGGATTCATGCAGGCGTCGTTCTACTTTGTCTTAATGGCCTGCGTCTGCTACGGCCTCTTCCTCATGCTCGGCGCTGTGGGTTTCCTCGCCTCGCTGGCCCTTGTGCGCCGCCTCTACCGCTCCATTGGGCGCGAGTAAGTGTTTCTTAGGGGAGGGGGAGTGGGGCACGGGGATTGGGAACAGGGAGAGATGAGGGGAGGGAGAGGGGGAATGGGGCGTGGGATTCATGCAGGCGTCTTTCTACTTTGCCTGCATGGCCTGTGTCTGCTACGGCCTCTTCCTCATGCTCGCCACTGTGGGCTTCTGTGCCTCGCTGTGCCTTGTGCGCCGCCTCTACCGCTCCACCCAGTACGAGTAAGTGCTTCTTAGGGGAGGAGGGAAGTGGGGGAGTGGGGCATGGGGCTTCATGGGGCTTCATGGGGCTTCATGGGGCTTCATGGGGCTTCATGGGGCTTCATGGGGCTTCATGGGGCTTCATGGGGCTTCTGTGCCTCGTTGGCCCTTGTGTGCCGCCTCTACCGCTCCATCCAGTGCGAGTGAGTGCTTTCTAGGGGAGGAGGGGGAGGGGGGAGAGGGGGGAGGGGGGGGGAGTTGGGGTGGGAGGAGCTGGAGGGGGGTGGAGGTTGGGGGGGAGGGGGGAGGGGAAGATGAGGAGGGAGAAGGTGGTTTGAGCAGATTGTGATGGATGCACTTGACACGTGTCGCATTGTGATTGGTGCAGATTCACTGGGAGTGCAGGCACTGAAGGTGCAACTGTCCCATTACTCCCCAGTGAAGGTGAGATCATCAGAACCCTCTCTTGCATGTCATGGCTTGGACAAGCATCACCATGGTTTGAATATGTGTCACTTACGTAAGCATCATCATGGCTTGGACAAGCATCACCATGGTTTGAATATGTGTCACTTACGTAAGCATCAGCATGGCTTGGACAAGCATCACCATGGTTTGAATATGTGTCACTTACGTAAGCATCATCATGGCTTGGACAAGCATCACCATGGTTTGAATATGTGTCACTTACGTAAGCATCATCATGGCTTGGACAAGCATCACCATGGTTTGAATATGTGTCACTTACGTAAGCATCATCATGGCTTGGACAAGCATCACCATGGTTTGAATATGTGTCACTTACGTAAGCATCATCATGGCTTGGACAAGTATCACCATGGTTTGAATATGTGTCACTTACGTAAGCATCATCATGGCTTGGACAAGTATCACCATGGCTTGGATACCTGTCACTAGAGTACCGTGTTTGCTAGATCACTGACAAAGCTTCATGATCAGTAATTTTCTTTACACAACCCACTAGAAATGCCTTCAACTTACGGGAAACAAATGTGCATCCTTGCCCAACCTGCAGGTCTAGTCCGGGCCTCTATCTAAGCTTGGCAAGTGGTGGCATTGGTGAATCGCGGTGAGAGGAACGCGAACGTGACTGTAGCGGGAAATCAGTCAGGCTGATTCCGGTGCTTCAGGTGAGGGATTGAGCTGCAGGACATTTATTTTCATCTTCTCGCTCTCTCCCACACCTCCTATGTTCTCTGCAATGCTTTGGATGTGTGCTTGAGACCTCTGGGGAGTGTGCGTACCTCTCATAGTGTCTTTATCATCCCCCCCCCCCCCTCTCCCTTCCCCCCCCCATCGTCACCCCACTCTTCCTCGCTCTCATGCCTCTCGTTTGCCAACTTCTTCGTTTCTGAGTCATAATTGTATTCACACGAGCATGCACGCACATGCACAGACGCACAAACATACACATGCACACACAAACTCAACCGTGCTCTGTTTTGCTCACAATTCTCAAACCTTCCCACCCTCGTTTCACCCACCTTCGCTGTCCCCCTTCCCCCCCCCCTTCCAATTGATATGTGTGTATGTAAACACATGCACACATGCACACATACATGCAGGCACTTACTAATTCACACACAACCAGCACGATCTTTCTTCTCATGTATCTGCTCTGCTCCCCGTGTTGCTTCTTCTGTGCTGCAGAAATTCACCTTGAATACATGTCTTGGGAGAGCTGAGTGCTTGTGTTGTGAGCCATAACTTGTGACTCTTACTTCTCTGGCCCGTATCAGATGCCCAATCATTGTAATCTGGCCCGTAACATACCGGTAAGCCTTATTTGTGTTTATGGGGCAGACCAGATGCATAACCCAGCTGAAGTTGGGCTGCTACCGCAACTTTCAAATCATCAGTGTGAGTGGATTTTTCATTGTAGGTTGTGCGTGTATCGTACCCGTTCACATCTTCCTTTCGGGACAGTTACCTATTGCTAAAATGGTTTATCTCGGGGCTGGACTATCTCAAGGTGACGTGGAATGGAGCTTATGGCGGCATGCCAGCTCTCACGCTAGGAGTTGTTACCTAATACCATAAGTGAGCAGCCTGTGGAATGGGAGGACGCGAGCCCTGGGCTTAGGGACTAGGGAACGCTGAATGGACTGAAATGGCGCCTCTGCTGAGACTGGTTTGCAGAGTACCGTATAATGACCCCATCATTGATTTGTGCAATGTTGAAAGCGTACTGGTACACCAGGGCCCTGTACACTAAATGCTACTAGAGGAGGGTGAAGAATACCCCGCAAGCACGGTGCACAAGGGGGGTCACCTGAATGTGGGTTCCAATGAAGTACTTCCAATCTACAGCTACAGGCTCCAATTACGGCATCTTGTAGCAAACCATTCACTCACTTCTGTGACAGCTTCTCCCACGCCCAAGTTAAAGCAGGAGGTATACAGTACATGCTTCAATCAAAAGTTATTTTAGCATCTAAACCTTCATAAGTGTGACATGAGATCATAGATTGCCCTAAAGGGGAGCGAAGCAGGGTCAAGGGAGGAGGGGTAAGGGGGCATGGAAGTGTAATCCGAGCCACACATTGTCTGCCATGCCAGCCCAATGAAAGAAAACCCAACAAAAAACGAGCTGCTCTGCTAAACCTTCTGGATACACTTCCACTTGCATCCTGAGCCAAACCAAGCCAACCCTTGTGCCGTTTCAACCAAACTCTGAAGATGCTGCAGTCATTCCTGCTAACCAATCCCTATGGCATGCTGATTTGTCAAGATTCTGTAACCAAGGTCAGCTGGTAACCTCTGGTACCCGTGCTTCATCTAGAGTCTTGACTGAGAGGCTGCAGTCAGCTGGTGTTGGCGCGAATCCACGGGTGTTCTGGAAGGATTGTTGGGATGGTGAAAGTGGGGGGTAACATGGGGCAACAACCGCTTTTTCAGTCAAAAGCCACCTCGACGCTTCACTGAGAGGCTGCAGTCAGCTGGTGTTGGCGCGAATCCACGGGTGTTCTGAAAGGATTGTTGGGATGGGTGACGTCGAAGGGAGGTGACAGTGTGGTATGGTGACAGTGGGAGATGGTGACAGTGGGGGATGGTGACAGTGGGGGGTACAGTGGGAGATGGTGACATAAAGGGGTGGTGAGTTCTGTATATGTGCATGATCAAGCACAGTTCCACACTAAAATGGAGATGTGACTCGCAAGTGATCTGGAATGGTTGGTGTAATGGAGACAGACAGTAAGAGTGAGGGACGGTGACAACAAGGGATGGTCAGGAGACATAATCACAACTCACATGCCTTTGCATGCATACGGTTATGCATCCACCTTTTTTTGGACACATACACTTGTATCACTTTCGAGAATCTCAAAAGTGAACACATAAACTATTGCTCACTATCATGAGTTGTGAGTTGTAAACTATTGCAGTCACATATCACTACTGCTCCCCATATGAAACCCCCCAGACGTACCAAGAATCTCTTCTGCGGTGATCCTCTTTTGGGGTTTCCGCGTGAGCATTAAGGCAAACATACCCTTAAATAAAGGGTAAAAACCCCAACTTACCCAGAATCTCTTCCGCAGTGATCCGCTTTTTGGGGTTACGCGTGAGCATCCTGACCACAAGATCTTTCGCCTCGTCCGAGATCGACGGCCACGGAGGCCTCACAAGGTTCAGCGTGGCATTCTTGATCGCCTCAAAAATGGCGTCGTTGGTGGTGCCCCAGAAGGGCGGCAGGCCGCACAGCAGGATGTATAAGACCACGCCCGCGCTCCACATGTCGGCCTCAGGGCCGTACTTCTCCGCTAGGACCTCGGGAGCGAGGTAGTAGGGACTGCCTGCCATGTCAGTGCACGGCTTGCCTGGTGAGAGAAGAGGGGGAGGGAGCACAGCATGACCACACGCACAGCAGGATATAGAGCACCACCCCCGCGCTCCACATGTCGGCCTCAGGGCCGTACTTCTCCGCTAGGACCTCGGGAGCGAGGTAGTAGGGACTGCCTGCCATGTCAGTGCACGGCTTGCCTGGTGAGAGAAGAGGGGGAGGGAGCACAGCATGACCACACGCACAGCAGGATATAGAGCACCACCCCCGCGCTCCACATGTCGGCCTCAGGGCCGTACTTCTCCGCTAGGACCTCGGGAGCGAGGTAGTAGGGACTGCCTGCCATGTCAGTGCACGGCTTGCCTGGTGAGAGAAGAGGGGGAGGGAGCACAGCATGACCACACGCACAGCAGGATATAGAGCACCACCCCGGCGCTCCACATGTCGGCCTCAGGGCCGTAGTTCTCCGCTAGGACCTCGGGAGCGAGGTAGTAGGGACTGCCTGCCATGTCCGTGCACGGCTTGCCTGGGGGAGAAGAGGAGGGGTTGGAGGGAGGGAGGGGAAGGGAGGGCAGCAAGGCATTCAGAAGCTGGCAATGGTGGTAGCCCAGCAGGGGGGCATAACCGCCAGCACAGCAGGATGTACAGCACCCCCCCAGCGCTCCAGATATCAGCCTCAGGTCCGTACTTCTCTGCTAGAACTTCTGGCGCGAGGTAGTACGGGATCCCTGCCATGTCAGTGCACGGCTTGCCTGGGGGATGGGGCAGGAGGGTTGGAAGGAGGCAGGGGAAGAGAGGGCAACAATGCATTCAGAAGCTAGAGCACCACCCCTGCGCTCCAGATGTCAGCCGGGCTGCTAATAAGAATATTCTTCGGCTAAGACTTCTGGCTTGAGATAATAGGGGCTGCTTGCCATGCCTGTGCCTGCCTGGGGAGGGGAGGAGTATTGGGGTGGAGGGAGGGAGGGGAAGAGGAGCAACGATGCATTCAGAAGCTGGCTAAGGTGGTAGCCCAACAGGGAGGCATAGCCACCAGCACAGCAGGGCAGGATATAGAGCACCACCCCGTGCGATGAGAAGATTTTCGAGTCGACCCAAAGATCGTCTCATCACAGCAGAAGGGCATCACCTCACCGCCAGCACAGCAGAGGGGCATCACCTCACCGCCAGCACAGCAGAGGGGCATCACCTCACCGCCAGCACAGCAGAGGGGCATCACCTCACCGCCAGCACAGCAGGATGTAAAGCACCCTCCCCGCGCATCATTGTTGTGCGTCGAAACCAACAACATGTTCTCGGGCTTTAAGTCGCGGTGCATGATGCCCGCCCCGTGGCAGTGCCGCAGCACCACCAGCACCACCGTGCGAACCACCCTCGCCGCGAGTGGGGCCGACAGACAGAAGCAACCACCCCGCCCCACCCAATCAGCCAACCGACACCACCAGGAGAGCTCACCTTTCTGGAAGAAGGTAGCCACACCCCAGTCAATAACCTTTAGATCGGTATCGCTCTGGTTCGACACTAGAAGGATGTTCTCCGGCTTTAAGTCGCGGTGCATGATGCCGGCCCCGTGGCAGTGCCGCAGCACCAGCACCACCGTGCGAATCACCCGCGCCGCGTCACCTTCCGGGAACTTTCCCCGCAGCTTGATGCGGTCGAACAGCTCGCCCCCCTCGCACAGCTCCATGATCAGATGCACGTCCTGGTGGGTGGTGAGAGGTGGAGTGCGGTGGGGATGGGGCAAGATGTGGTCGTGGGGAGTGGTGAAGGGTGGTGTGGTTAGGGGTAGAGTGGGGTGGGGTGGTGTCTTGAGCGGTGGTTGGGTCGGGTGGGTGGACTTGTGCTCTGCTTCCTCCCCCCCTCCTGTCTTCACCTGTTATTCCCCCCATCCCCCACCCACCCAACACCTGTCGCCCCCCCTCTCCTACCCTCACCTGCTTTCCCCTTCCCTCCCACCCTCTCCTACCCTCACCTGCTTTCCCCTTCCCTCCCACACTCTCCTACCCTCACCTGCTTTCCCCTTCCCTCCCACCCTCTCCTACCCTCACCTGCTTTCCCCTTCCCTCCCACCCTCTCCTACCCTCACCTGCTTTCCCCTTCCCTCCCACGCTCTCCTACCCTCACCTGCTTTCCCCTTCCCTCCCACCCTCTCCTACCCTCACCTGCTTTCCCCTTCCCTCCCACCCTCTCCTACCCTCACCTGCTTTCCCCTTCCCTCCCACCCTCTCCTACACTTACCCCTTCCCTCCCTCCTCACCCTCACCTGAGCGTCTTCAAACGCGTTGCGCAGGTTGACAATGCTGGGATGCCCCTTGAGCATCTCCATCACCGCTACCATCACACACCACACCACAGCACCACCGGAGCCAACCAGCCTCACACACAGCACCACTGGCAACCTTCTGACTTTTGAGTCGACTCAAAAGTCACCTCGTTACAATGGCAAACGACACACACCACAGCACCACTGGCAACCTTCTGCCCCTCCGCATCCCCCTACCGCCTCCCCCCACTGTACCTGCGCATCCTCAAACGCGTTTCGCAGGTTGACAATGCTGGGATGCCCCTTGAGCATCTCCATCACCGCCACCTCCCTCCTCACGTCCTCTATGTCCTGCTGGCACTGTTGGGATGAGCAGAGGAGGAAAGGGTAACGGGATGGGGGAAGGAGAGGTGTTTGAGGTGCCCCTTCTCTCAGCATCTCCATCACCGCCACCTCCCTCCTCACGTCCTCTATGTCCTGCTGGCACTGTTGGGATGAATGGGGATGGGAGGTGGGTGGGGGATGTGAGTGGGAATGGGATAAAGCAGCAAGTGTGAGCGAGTCCCCATCACAATGCTGGGATGCCCCTTGAGCATCTCCATCACCGCTACCTCCCTCCGCACGTCCTCTATGTCCTGCAGGCACTGTTGGGATGGAAAGGGGTTAATGGGGGAGAGTGGACAGGGAAGAGGCAAGGGAAAGGGAAGGTACGACGAGTGGTGTTCTCAGCATCCCCATCACCGCTACCTCCCTCCGCACGTCCTCTATGCCCTGCTGGCACTGTTACACAGAGAAACAAGGGGAGGACGAAACGAACGGGAAGGGGAGAACAGTGAGAGCAAGGCCAGTGCCCATCGCCGCTACCTCCCTGCGCTCGCCTTGATGTCCTGCTGGCACTGACGGGATGGAAGGGGAAGAGGAAGGGGGAAGGGTGAAGGGGGACTGGGAAGGGAGAAGGGGGAAGGAGGAAGGGTGAAGGGGGAACTGGGAAGGGGGAAGGGGGAAGGGGGAAGGGGGAAGGGGGAAGGGGGAAGGGGGAAGGGGGAAGGGGAAAGGGGGAAGGGGGAAGGGGAAAGGGCGAAGGGGGAAGTTTGAAGATAGAAGGGCGAACCTCTCCCCAGACACGCGGCACACAAATCCCCTGATCACGCCCATACACACAGCCATGCATTCTTCTTCAAACTGCATCGCCTACCTCCCAACACTCATACCTGCAGCATGCCCTTGCGACTTGCACACAAATCTTTCTCCCTTTCTCCCCTTCCCCGCCCACGCACATACCTGCAGCATGCTTTTGCTAATCGACTTGCACGTGAATCACTCCCCTGACTGACACACGACACACACACCCCCTGATCACGCCCATGCACACACACGCGGGATTGCCTCAAAGTACATTCGCTTCCAACTTTCTCCCCTCCCCCCCCCCCACACACATACCTGCAGCATGCTTTTGCTGATCGACTTGCACGCGAATCGCTCCCCTGAAACGCGGCACACGCACCCGCGAATCACCCCAAACCGCCCTCGCCCCAGCTCATTTTTATCCAGCTTATAAGCCTCCTTCACATCCGCTAAAGGCCGCTTCAATATATTCACACCTCCCCCCTGACCCGCGCCCCCTCCCGCGCCCCCTCCCCCTCCGCCTCCTCCTCCCCCTCCGCCCGTTCCCGCTGCTGCCGCTTCTTTTCTAGCTGCCCGAATCACCTCTCGGTTTTTTCTGGTCAGCCTAGCTTGCAACCCTTCCGGTGTGACTGGCCTAGCTCCTGGTGAGGGTTGCAGCACCACTGCTACAGTGTTCCCCTGCGCCGCCCCCGCCGCTTTGTCCACATCTGGCGTTTTTGGGCGGCTGGAAAACACCGAAAAGATTCCTCTCCGGGCAGGTTTCTTCTCCTCCACTGCAATTCTGTCCACGGGCAGCTTTAAAGCCGCCACGTCAGCAACTAATCTCTCCTTCTCCATCGTCCTCCTCTCCTTATCCGTCCTCTTCCTATCTTCCTTCTCCTTAACCTCTCTTTCCATCCTCTTCAACTCTTCCTGTAGCTTCCTCCTCTCCTCCCTCTCTCTTTCAAGCTCCATAGCTAGCCGCCTATGCTCCTCATCCCCGTCGTATCTCCCGCCGCCGCCCCTCTCGTCTCCCCCGTACTCATCCCTCCGCCGCCCATACCCATGCGAAGTGTACGGCCTGTCCTGGTTACCATACCCCCCGCCACCGCCGCTCCAGCCCCTTTCATCCTCATAATCTTTAGATACCGAGTTAGACCGCAGACTTGTGCTGGGGGATCTAAGGGGGGCCCTGCGCCCGCCGCCCCCGCCCCCTCCGCCTCCGCCTAAGTCCTCAGGCATCACTTCGGAGGCGGAGCGGGGGACTGTGCGCATCCTTCCGCCCTCCCCCCGCTCGCGCTCCTTTAAGGATCCCCCCGGCCCCGCGAGGGCGGCTTCCGCGGTGGACATGCTCCGCGGGACGCCCGCGCGCCCATGCGCGGAGTTCACGTCCGCCGTCCGCGGGCGTCTCCCGTCCGCGGTCCCCGGCCGCGCGAGCAGCTCCGCGCCAGACGGCGTGCGCGGGCGCAACTCCGCTCCGCCTTCCGCCGAACTGCGCCGCCCGAAGCTCCGCGCGCGCCCGCTCAGCGACGGGTCAAGGCCACCCGGTCCTCCGCGCGAGGGCGGGCGCCCCGCGGAATACCCCGCGCCGTCATGCGCGTCCCCCGCCGGCCTGAGGTGCGACCTCCCCGGAGTCACCGCCTCGTCCGCGTTCCGCCCCCCCCCGCGGGACGCCGACCGCGGAGGGGGAGTGCGCGGGGAGCCTTCATACCCCGCTCCCCCGTCCCGCTCGCGCGGACCGCGCCTTCCGCTGCCGCTTGATCTCTCATCGTAATCCCCGTCCGCGCCGTATTCCTCCCGCCGAAAGCCGGACGCGCGGCGGCGGGAGGACGACGACGAAGAATCCTTCCCTGGGGAATCTATACCATCCCCTAGCTCTCCGCCTTCTAACTCGCATAGCGAATCTTCCACCCAGCGACTCACGGCGCGCTCCTTAGAAGGCGACATTAGAGGTAAGTCGCCCTCCGCGTCGCCCTCTGCTAAGTACCTAACTCTGTCACGTTCCCTAAAGCTGCTTCCGCGGTCCCGCATTTCCCGTTCTCGGTCCCTATACCCCCCTCTTTCGCGGTCCCTGTCTCTGTCTCTATCCCGGTCGCGGTCCGCTTCGCGCACCGCGGCTCCGGAATTCGAGAGATTAATCTTCGCGGACTGCGACTTGTGGAACGCGCGGCGGGGCGGCGAGCCCTGCCCGCGATACCCGGCAGAGTAAGAACCCGAGTGCGGCAAACTCGGCGCGTCATCCCCGTACCCTCCCCCTCCGCCTTTCGTACTCGCGCTTCCGACCAGCCTCCGCGGCGGCCATTCTCCGCTCGCCCCGCTGGCTCCGTCTACGTCATCGTCAGTTGACGGACCTGGACGGGACGGCATCCGCCGGCCGCCGCTAGTCGCCGGCCGTTGCGGCGGAGCCCCCGACGACGACGAGGACGACGCCTGCCAATCCGGAGCGCGGCTGCTGCTGCCGCTTCGCGGACTCATCGCCGCGCCGCCGTCCTCCGGCCGCCTCGGTCGGCGGACGCCGCCGGAAGTCGACGGCCGGCACGGCGGCATATCCTCGCTGCTGCTGCCGCGAGAGCGATCCCGAGGCAAAGAACCGTTTCCTGTTCTGCTGCCGCCTCCGCTGTCGTCATCCCAGCCGTCGTCTCGTCCCCTACCCCGCCGCTCTTCCCGCACCATCTGGGAATGCTGACTGGACGCCACGTGGCTGTTGAAATCGTTGCTCGTGCGAGACGGCGACGGTCTTAGAGGCGGCTCGAAGGTAGAATGCTGGCTGGACGACGCGTGGCTGTCAGAGTCGTTACTCGCGCGACTCGTCGACGATCCCTCTCCACCTCCCCCGAAGATAGTTCTGGGTGATTGGCCGCTTCCGGAGTGTGCTTTCCGGGAAACCCGGAGGCTGCTGTCACGTGTCGCCGTCTCGTTGGGAGATGAGTTGCCTACTCTGCGCACATTGTTATCTCCCAGGCGCTCCGAGCCTCCTCCCATGCTAACGCCTTCATGATCGGCTGCGGCCGCGATTTGCGGAGGGGCAATCAGACGGTGTTACAGGTGGCAGCTATTGACGGGTGAATGTTTTTTTTTTTTTTTTTAATGTGGTCGATTGGAACGAAACAATTATCTGGATTCGAGCGTTATCTACAATAATTTAGAACTCGGGTGGTTCTATCACTAGGAAATCTGTGCCTGATTGAGCAGAGATCACCTAACGCTTAGCCTGTGCGCTGCTGCTGCCATTTCCCTCCTGCACAGTCTGAGCTCCAAGAAGCGCTTCGCGATTGTCCGCTACCTTAGTTAGTAAACGTCTAGTTACGTTCAGTCTGGTAAGACCCTGATGATAGACGCTCCTGGACGCACAGGGTGACGAGGTGTAGGAAACCCTACTAAATTGTTCAGTAAGCCATGGCTCCCTCAGTAATGACAGATTTTGGGAATGAAACATCTCGCAATTGTTTCTGAGCACCTTAACCGCTCGAAATGATGTAATATCTCTACGAACCGTCCGAAAACGTACTGAACCAGGCTACCGGCAGTGATGGGACAAACGGAAGTCCCAGTGGAGGCAGAAACGAGGTTGTTAGGTACGGAGAAACAGTTGGGGGGGGCTCCGTACCTGGAGAAAGAGGTTCGGAGTGAGTCACTGTACCGCTAACGCATGCAGCCGAGGCTTTGCTGATGGGTAACATCAGGTTCGAGAGAACCCTGCTGGCTCGGTCGATACTGTGTGGATGAGCTTGGCTATTAGGAACAGTCTAGGCATGATGAAACACGAACCTAACGTAGTCGGTTTGAATAATCTGCTAGAAACGATTAGCTAAGTATCTCAGCCGCCTCGCAAGAAAAACCAAACAGAGAAATTTTAGCCTTGGTTTTTAGGGTCCATTCAGCCCAGCCCTGGGACATGGGACCGCAGAGTGATTCATCTTGGAACATGGGACCTGAAATCAGGGTTACGCCAGGCTTTGGGCCAAGGCAATCTCTAGGCTGACCTTGTCTGGCCGCGTCGCAGGTCGTTGGAGGCTCGTTCAACTGGAGAGGTTCGGCAATCGGACCCATTTCAGTATCCCCAACACTATTTTGGTCGCCTGAGTACCACATCTCAGGGTGCACACCAACTGGATTACCAACGACAATCAATGCATTGGTACATTGTGCATTACCGTACCATTGACTGACGCCCATTCCTATTCCTATACACAATACAATATCAGCAAATCAGCCTAAATATGCTCCTCTCACTGTCACGAAGCCAGCTACAGAACAATCTGCGTCTTCGATGACACCCATGCACATACAGTATTCATATCCAAACAACATCACCAACATGCGTCTTCCTCAAACACAATCTTGCCTGAGCGTTCTTACTCCAATTCGAGCCGTGTTCAGAACAATCACTCAGCTGGTGGTGGTGATGGTGGGGGAAGGGAAGGGGGAGGAGGGGGGGGAGGGGGGGAAGGAGGAGAAAAGGGAGGAGGGGGGGAGGACGACGAGGAGGGGAGGAGGAGGGGAGTCCGAGCACCAGGAACGAGCAGCACCGTAACCGGAATAAAAAATTCCATATTGATAAATTCTGCTGAAGAATCCTTGCAGCAACACTGTTCAAAATCACTAAGCTGGTGGTGGAGGGGCAGGAGGAGGCGGAGGAGGAGAGTCCGGGGGAGGAGCAGGAGGCACAGCACCAGGAACCAGCAGCGCCATATCCGGAATAAAGAAATCCGACGAGATATGAACGAGCGTCTCCACAATAATCGTGATATTCTGCCCCGAGCTTGTAATATTCCGTGGGTCTTGAATATATATGATATTCGGCCGAACGATCTTCACCGCAGGGTAACTCATCGGCGGCTCCGAAAACAGGGAAACCTCCTCTTTACACCCTGGTTCCCGGTAAAACCTCTTGAAGTACGGACAGCGGGTTTTAGTCAGCGTAACTGACATATCAGTCAGCAGCGTCGGGAGCGACCCGGTCGACTTATTAGTCAGCTCCGCGTAACTCTGAATCCCGAAAACCGCCTGGTAGCTGAGGAGAAGCGTCTCAGCCGCGGGGCCGTTGTCTGCGATAAGCTGTTTCACGGGTGCGGGGATGCGGGCGTGCGCGTCGTCGGTGGGAGCAAAGAAGGTGACGTTGGGGGAGGTGGCGGTGGTGAGGAGGGCAATGAAGCCCGAGCGTACGATCATGTCGGCGGTCTTGGAGCACCCGAAGAGGCGCAGGCGGCTCATTATTGTGTCGTCCGCCGCGGGAGGTGGAGGGGGGGCTGGGGGAGGCGGGGGAGGGGCGTCTGTTGACTCGGCTGGAATGGGGGGAGGGCAGGGAACAGAGGGATGGGGGAAGAAGGGATGGGGAAAAGGGGGTGGCGTGGGAAGGGAGGTAGTGTGGGAGGCAGGGGAGAGGTCTGTTGAATCGTTTGGAAAGAGGAGAGGGCACGGAATGGGGTTACGGGAATCGCTTGAAGTCAACAAAAAAGAGGTGAGGGCGGGGAACAGGTGGGGGTGGGCAATGAGGGAAGGGAGAAGGAGGGAGGGTGAAGGGGGGAGGGGGAGGTCGCAAGAAGAAACGCAAGCATGGAAAGATAGGAGAGCGTGAGAGAGCAACGACGAAGGGAGAAAGAAGTGCACAGCGGGGGAAATGGCAACGGTTTAGATCAAAACACGCCAGGGTTTAGGGGCACGCCAAAAGGTGCAGGGAGGAAGACATTCAGGTGTGAAAGGAGTGATGGGGCGGGGTGGAAAGGGATGGAGGGTTACAGACAGATGGAAAGGGGCGATTGAGTTGATTGACAAGACAGCGACAGACTCGGGACTCACTCATTGGTAAGATCATGGATTGGGCGGAAGCAGCATAGGCTGCGCTGAAGGGGTTAACCGCCGCTGCCTCTGCTGCTCCTGCATGGGAGGCAGAGGCGGAGGAATGGAAGGGCGCCAGCAGCACCTTGACCGGCGGAATGAGCACCCGGTTGATCACGTGAATCGTGATTCCATCCCCGCTACTAGCAGCTTCGTCAGCAGCAGCAGCTCCGGTACTAGCAGCTCCGGTATTGATATCCGAGGCAACAACCCGAGCCACTCGGCTCAGCAGCGGCACCATGGGGAGAGGCGAGAAGGCGAGGGCCTTGCCCACGTGCTCTGCCTTCACGCTCCTCCCTTCCAGCAGTGTGTCAAATATCTCATACTCCTCGATCCCTGCCGCTGCTATACCCGTGTCAAACTGCTTCGACGAAACACGTCCACGTGTCAGGATGTGATAGGCCACGAGGTTCTTAAGAACCAAGTCCGCCTTGGGACCCATGAGGAGGGCTTTAATCGGCAGGGGGAGGGTCCAGAAGGCGAGGTTGGTGGGCGCGAGGAGGGTAGCGGGG